GCATGAATCTAAGCACTCCACAGACATCTCTCATTACTTGAATTTTGGCCCTAAAAGCATTTGCATAGTTAAACCCTCTTAAATGAGGCCAAAATGTTTCCACCAAACAAAAGATTCTAGTAAACTGTGAAGTCTGTTTTCAGATGTATTTTTGAGACCTCATTTAAAGGTATGATTTGCTGAAAAGTAACCATGAAATGACAATTCTAAGAAACAGATCTACCCAGGAACATTTTCAGTCATCAACACAATGGAATGGAAAAATAGGGAAACAGCTTTCATGTGCTGATAGGAAATGCATTAATATACACTGTTGAGTATTAAACTCCTGCATTAACCAAGACCCAAACATTAACACTGTCAGCTACAAATTCATAAACAACTTCCAAGTTTATACACAAAAGATTACTTACTGAACAGTGCTGTACACATACTTGGCTTCCATGACACACTACTGTTCTACTGCTACAGATACAGACCCTCCCCAGAGGCAAGTTAGCCAAACATCTCAGAGTCTGATCCTGACAAAACACTCCGTGAAAAGAAGAATGCTGAAAAGCAGTTTTCCTCCAGTTATTTGGGGCAGGGGGAATAATAGAAGTCTTAAGTAAGGCCTGTGTCTCGGTAAAAGCTAAAGAATCATCCTTACTGCTTTGATTTCTCCAGCTAAGAGTTTCAGTTAGAATTAAGCTATCTCTGCAGCAACAAACAAAGGCAAATTTAATCTAAACATGGCTTTTTCAGACAACAGAATACATGCAATGCACAAGACAACAAGCAGCTGTTCTGCAGCTCGTATCACTGGCTCTTGGGAAATGTTAGCACAGCTTTTGACTTCATAGAAGGGGAAGAGATGTTAGTTGCTGATCTTAACCTCCTCTTCTCCCCATAGCCCTCCAAAAAGGAGGAAAAAATCCCCAACCGTCTCCCAAAAACCATGAGTACTCCTTGCATCCCATTTGATGTAGCATTCTCAATTGACTTTTTCCACAGATAATTCAAAAGTTCTGTTAACATCATGTTTGCCATCCAGAGGGACCTTGACAGGCTAGAGAGCTGAGCCCATATAAACCTTATGAAGTTGAATGACCAGTTTTTGGTCTACCATATGAAGAATTTTACGTCTGTATCATTAATGGTAAAAAAAGACAAAAAGTACATTACAAGTATGTTGTCATACCAAGTTTCTTCTTAATGGCTTCCAAGATACTGTCGGAGTCTCGCAGCATGCACGGCGTGGTGGTGCAGACCTGAATGTGGTACTTCCCAACAGGTTTGCGGTTGTACATCGTGTAGAAGGTCGCTACTTCGTACACTCTCATGGGAGGCATATCTAGAACTTCAGCAACCTGCGAGAAGGGGAAAACACATGCTGTATAGAATTCTCACAGGGCAGCAGTAAAGGCACCTGTCCTGTGTGCAGCAGTGGATAAGAGGGAGGGGATGGGTGCCAAGACACCCGAGTTACTCTGGCTGCTGTCACCCTGCCTGAGCACGAACCCCACTGAGCCATGGACTGGCACAACAAGGAGCTCAAGTCAGCTTCCCCAGCACAATACACAAGCAGATGTGAGGAATCAGCTGGGTTTCAGCTTTCATTGTCAGCTCCAGCTCACACTGCGCTGCTGCTGCATGAATGAACAAACTCGTACGAGTCTGCCCACGCAAACTCACATCAGCCTTCTGACGCTGGTACCGCGCTCACCTAATTCATAGAGAGCAGGTCTCTCTCAGGCTCTGTGACCCACCACGGCTACAGCTACACATTGGCATCACAGCTAATAAAGAGGGGGTGCAGCACGATCTCCATGGAGCCAGCTCTGGTGCAACTATCCCTGACCTCATTAACCTGGAACCCTGGCAAAGCTCTCAAGTTGAGAGCTGGCTCTGGTTTCAATAGTGTAACTGTTTTATGTTCCAGTTTCTATAGCAGGCAAACAGTGAATCACGGAAAATATTTGCTCACTTAAAAACCTTAAGATCATTTTAAACATAGTATCAATCTGAAACTTAAATAAACAAAAATACTCTGTCAGCATTTATGGAGATTTGAAGCTTTATGTTACTCTGTAGAAACAGTAGCGGACTAACTTGCCCTTCTTTGAAGGTGCATTTAACTCCTCAGTCATTTCTGTAACGCTTACAATCCTCACTTAGTGTACCTAGACTGAATTTAAAACTTGTCAGTTTAAAACTGATGATATGCCAGACTGTAACACAAAATACAATAGATTTATTCATATGAATATAAACCAGATTTTTTAAATTTTCTTTGTATTTGGTTACTGTCACGCAGCCTCTCCCTTGGGAGCAGGGCATCTGCCTCCTTCCTTGCTTGTTTTGAAACAACTCTAATCAATAACAGGGTAGGTCTTTGGGCGCTTGCTGTGAGGTGTTACACAACACTCCTGACATCTACTACACTAAGAGGTCTTTACAGGCCTAGGGATTAAGCACAATCCAGGCAATGTGTGTAGTGCCACTAATCTGGGAGGAGAAAAAACACACTGCCCTTACCTTTTTTCGTTTCCCCAAACTCAGCAGTGAACAAAATCTTCCAAGTTTCTGTTCGTACTTCCAGGAAGATTCTGGGAAAAGAGCCTGTCTAAACAGGGCTCGTGTAATTTTTGCTTTGTTCTGTCTGTGGTTTCTAGCAATGGGCTAACATTATGTCAACAACAGAGCCCTGAGTTTCCTGCATTAGTTTTCCCTTTTACTTTTAAAAACACCATCTCACAGGGAACTCTTACAATTCTGTGCCACATGTCAATTCCCACATTAGTATGCTGCGATAAATAAATGCTAATATTCTAGTAGGATAGTTAAAGAAAACAGTAAATTATGCTTGAAAGCTAATTAAGTACTAAATACCTTGTTCATAGCCGATATGGGCAACCATCCATGCTGTCTTTGGGCCAAATCCAGTACTGCCATGACAGCTGCAGACTTGTGTCCCTCTGGGTAGTTGTTTATGATTGCTTCTATTCGCTTTTTAAAGGAAAAGAAGGAAAGAAATCAGGACTGATCTAAGGACAAAGTCTGTGTGTTTAACTGGGGTTTTTTCTGCATACCTTTTTGTTTTCAGGTGTGAATTCAAATGGAGTATCTGGATTATTTTCAGGACTGTCTCTGTGCTTCAGGAAAAGAAAAAAAAAAGCCATATAAAAATGGGTTGCCAGGAAGTTCAGGCATTCAGTATTCAGGACATACTTACTATTATAAATATCTTCTCATTAGACAGTTACAGTTGTGTCGCTTGAATAAAAATGATATATTCTGAATAAAAACTTCATAATACCAAAATGATTAAATATATTGGGGAAATTATAAAAAAATATCGAAAAGTATTTCATCACTTAAAAATCATTACTTATTCCTGTTATTGCCTATTAAAAGTTATCGACTGAGAAATATGCTGTTGTTACCAAAATACACATTTTTTCACACTGTTAATACAGTGTTAATACAGGCAATTATGTTCAAACTTACACTAGGTAGATGAAGAGTCCTCTGGTTAATACCTTCTTAAACAACAAGACTAAAACCCCCACCCATTTTTTCTTTTATCATGAAACATTAATTTGAAAAAACTTCAAAATCCATCAATAAGCTTGCTCTAGAATTAAACCACTTGCACATTCAAATGCACATTTTTAATCCTTTTTAACATATTATTTTGATTTACAATGGATTTCAACATTCTCATTTTATATACAATTCTGAATCAAAATGGAAGACGTGGAATTTTGAATCAGTATTTCCCAAACAAGGTATTCTACCGTAGTATTTTTAAGGTGGTCATCTAGGGAAACATCAAATTGAAGTTAGTTCCTCTATTTTCAGAAGTACAGATTTGGAAGTCTTGAAGAAAGTGACATTTTCCTACAATAAATTCTCAGTTCTGATGAAAATCCTTATCCACTCGAAAACCTTCCTGCACAAAATTTTCAGCTGTCTTATTATGGTTTCCTTTAAATACCTACAGTTTAATTTAATTCTCGGGGATGTCCTGTGCAGGGCCAAGAGTTGGACTCAATGATCCTCTTGGGTCCCTTCCAACCCCACATACTCTGTGATTCTGGGATATATTTAGAGGAAAGAAGCCCACTCCACTGACTTTGATCATTTCCTCCAGTAACCTAGGGCAATTCTGCAGTTGCCTCACTGGACTCTTCTTATTAAGCAGCAAAAGATTTAATTAAAAGATTAATGTTGCAAGATACTTGGACACTGAAAGACTATGATCAGTGGAGAACTTAGAACATGTATGGTCCGCGGCTATTCTTGGATTTAGAAATTTTAATATGGAAATACTGAAAGGGCAAATATTCAATTACATCTGTTGGTCTAGCCAGAGGTCACCTCTGCTTGTCCTGTTGATATCCCAAAACAGACAGTACTACTGCCACCATCAATTTGACAGCTGTATTCACCACAGTTTCACATCAAATATAAAACTAAAGTCAATAAATACTACACCAAGGATGACTTTCCTCTAATAACAGGAATTACACAAAGGTAACTGATTCCCTTTGAACACACTAATATTGAGTATTGATTTATTGCTTATTGTGTGGTTTACAAGGTAACATGAAACAGCTTTTAGGAACACAACTGCTGCTATTTTAGACTGATACTTCCAGGTAAAGGATTTGACTCTTCGTGAGAGTTTTCTACCAGTTTCAAAGTTCTCAACAAGAGGCTGATGGAGGAAAAACTGATCGGAAATACTGTGCAACTTCTATTATTTTTTTCCCTTACAGACCTTCCTATGTCTTAGCTGATCAAATCCATGATTCATATGTATCTCCATAGCTTCCTTCTCAAATCTGCATGCCTGTTTTATTTCAGACTGCTGTTTTGCTTTCCATAGCTATTTGATAGTTACAATTGTACTTCATCTCAATTTCTTTGGCAAATAAGTAAATTTGATTTATTAAAGTCTTCCTCTCTGTCATGAACAGCTGTTCTTTTCAGTGTATCATCTCTAAACTGATATCCTTAAATACACTACCTGTGAAGAGGAGTAAGAAAGACTTTATTTTGGAAGTTACAGATACAGCTGTAGCAAGGTTCCACAGTATATTGTAAAGGCCACAGCAGAGGTGAGCACTAAATTAGATCTGCCACTTTTTATGTTCTCCATTTTCCTGAAAAGGCTTCATGTAATTTTGTGCCATAGAGAGTTTGATAGTTTTCATTGAGAGCTTACAGAGTTCTAGGCCTACTGAGCAGTTAGGAATCTGTTAATCACATGTTCCCTAGTCCTACACTTACCTGACAATGCACCCTTTATCTGAGATTTGCAGGAGCTGATTTGCTCCGAAGTGACACAGGTGCATTTCTACCTTTTTTAGGATACAGATCCTGGAGAGCAAGATCAGAAATAATGACACAGTATTAGAAAGAATACTGTTAAATCACAGAGTGGCTGAAGTTGGAAGGGACCTCGGGAGGCCGTCTGGGCCAAACCCCCTTGCTCAAGCAGGAACACCCAGAGCAGGTTGCTCAGGACTGTGTCCAGATGGCTTCTTCCGAATATATTCAAGGATGGAGACTCCACAACCTCTCTGGGCAACCTGTGCCAGTGCTTCATCACCCTCAAAGGAAAAAAAGTGTTTCCTGATGTTCTCTGAGGCCACTGGTCATGTCCCTGGGCATCACTGAAAAGTCCCTGTCTCTGTCCTCTTTGCCCCCTCCCTTCAGGTATTTATAGAAGTTGGTAAGATCCCCCTGAACCCTCTCTTCCCTAACAGTCTCAGGTCTCTCATTCTTTCCTCATATGAGAGATGCTCATGAAAATAAACCATTATATTAATATTAAGGCTTCCTTCATATACAAACTCGGTACAAACAATTATGTCTTTACCAACTACAGCACTTTGTTGAAGAGAAAGGTAAAACACTATCTGTGCATTTTTTCTGAGTCTCTTCTCGTGCTCCCCAGTTTCCCAAAGTCTTACACAATACATTTTCATTCTATTCACAGCTGGACTGTACCACATCTGTATTGCAGCATTCAGCCTCACATTCTTTTTGCTACACCAACCTCGGCCATTTTATTATTTTTATTTATTTTTTCAGTGATCCAATCATCTGTCTGTCTTGACACGGAAAATTATTAAAAAGCACTGAGGAATTACAACAGAATAATTAGACTAATTTAGCCTTCAAGCATACTGCAACAAAGCTGGCCTGAAACTTGACCTATGCCCTGTGGTAAACAGCAGTCCAAAGCATTGCAAACCACAATGAGAGAGTTGTGTGGTCTGCAGGAGAAAAGGGCAACAACCGTTAAGAATCCATATCAAATCAGCACTGAGAAGAAATTTATTACTTCTTCCCTAAAGGGCAAGTCCCCCACATTCACTATTCCAACAGAATTCAAGATATAAATTAAAATATAAAATTAAAAACAGTGGAAGTGCTCTCAAACCCCAGTATTTCACTGACCATCTTCACAAGTAAATAAAGCTATAATACAGCAATTCTCTAACCTTCTGTGCTGAACTGTGTACCATATGACAAAGCTCACATCAGGGCAGTCAATGTATTAAGGAAACTCAGTCCACATATTGAACAGCTAAGTTTTATCTGTTAAGGAGGCTGAAGACAGGTATAACTCCCAGAGAGAGTGCACATTTCAGCAAAGAAAGGTAATGATAATAAATGTCTCTTTGGAATCAGGTCTTCCCTAGCCATCAGAAAATACAGACTTGGAGCATCACTCTTACATTACAACAGGCAAACAATGTACCTAGTTTTAAACTTGATATACTCTCTCTGGAACTTCAATCTAGCTGCCTAGTTTAATGGTTGAAAGAAAAGCTCTTCTTGGCTTTTTCATATGTTGCTGCTAACATGTAACACATCTGCAAAGGGATGCACAGGTATGCAAATCAGAAATGCCTTTTAATACTACATTTTATGACAACTAGGTCCCCTGCTAGGCTGTCCCCTGCTGTGACAAAACAAATATGGTGTATGCATTTCTCTTCCTTGCAAATAGGTTTTGTATGTGGAAAGTGCAACAAGAGGCACCAATGTGCTTTGCAAAACAAAACCAAGACATTTGTGTGTAAACTGACATACACCACAACAGGTTAGAGTTACTCCCAGGTAAGTCCACTATTCCTCCACAAGCAGTTTGTAACTACGCTCGACACTTCAACTGCTCGTAACAGTCCAGTAAAATAATACTTTTTCTAATTTTATTTTTTTTTCCTCTAGAGAAATCGTTGGGGGAGTCCTGTTGTCTGACTGTATATAAACACCTGGTGTTGATTAAAATAATGCCTTCAGCTCAAACCAGCAGGACAAGTTTCCCTTGAAATGTGCTGCGTTAAATAACATCTGAAATTTAGTTAAAGGCAAACAATTACACATGGACACAATGGCATCCAACTGCCTTCTTCCCATTGCCTTTTACTTCACAGAACAACAAATTACCCTATTAAAAAACATCCAAAAAAAGCCCAAAACAAAAACCAAGGAAAGAAACCCACAGAAAATTTCCTATGCTCCTCTAGCAAAAGTTCTGTTGCAGAGTAACAGTAATCGATGATGCTAAACCACCACAATGGTTAAACCACAACCCTATTAAATAAACAGCTGCAAACCACTCCACTTTTCGACTTCCCTTTCTCTGTTTCCAGGCTCCTTCCTGCAACAAATAATTTAAACAGTTACATAAACCTTGGAAAATGCCTGGAGAACTCACAAAGCTATCTAGCTTCATATGCCAGGCATCAACATCCTTCAGGGTACCAAAGACACCCTTTGCCCGTCTTCACTGACCTCCAACTACACTTGAAGTTTCCTAAATTTCCAGCTTACACTGTTTCCTCTGTTCCTTGAATACTAGCTCTCACTCCATAAATCATGGATGCCTGCTCAGATTTCTGGAAAAGTATACGAAGCACATACTGTAATCCCATTAACTTCATTTTATGATTCAGTCTGTAGACAGCTGCAGAAAGGCAAGGACACACAACAACAATCTGTCAAAAAGAGCTGAGCACCTGTTTTCAACAGTGGTCAACTCTAGTAAAGGGCTGATTTCTACCAAGTGTTGGGGAAGTGCCAAATTATTCAGCTGTTAAACTGCAGATTAGCTAAAGCTCTGAGCGGAGCAGAATGGAACAGAACACACCTCTCAGAGATGCTTCAGGTTCTCTTCAGAGCTAGAGAGGCAACACAGCTGCTCTACACATTTAAATTCTAGAGCTTTTTGTTTTTTGCAATCACTGTTACTATTTATACATACCCTGACAATGCCTAATGGCCTTGATTATGCAACAGGCTGTATCACATAGAACATGAACGAGAACTGCACTTTCCAACTCCTCTGAACAGGACTAAGATCTGAGCCTAAAAGTAATTCTGCAGCAAGTTTTAGAAATCAAGAAACTGCATCTGCAAAAGGTTTAATGACCTTCAACTACAAACTCAATTAACTCCAACAAGTAAACAAGAACTGTTTTGTAATCAAATAAAGTTTAAGCAAAAGTCTCATTCTGCAGTCCCATGCAAATTACTGAGAGTTTTCACTGTATAAGGAAAGAAACACAAGGTCATAAACTAAAATAAAACCTCTTGATACTCATCACAATTCTAGTAAGTTCTACAATAAAAACCCAACCCACGCTTGTTTGTAAATATCAGCAGGTGTTTTACAGCAAAGTTCTGCCCATCAGAAGCAGAATAGAAAGAGCATATTCCAAGCTCTTCTTACACATTCCCCTCAGAGTGAGGCAGAGGATCACTTACCACAAACAAGGCCCCTCCACTGGCATTGCGCACTGCCGTTCTGTGCAAGGCTTGGATCTGTCCTGCCTACAAACAAAACAGGGTGTAAACAGTTAACAATTCACACACTGCTACTAGCTGCTCTCAGAACAAGCCTGATTTCTATTCTAATTGTAACCATTAACTCCACTGACATCACTAATGATTTAAATTAAGTCAAGAAATGGTTATTAAGATCTCTTGACTCCCTTTGACCAAGTCAGACAATGTAGCAAGTAAAGGATTTAACTCTGCTCCTGCTTAAATTGAGTGCCTTGAATCCAAATTCTCATGAAACATTTAATGAAGACTTTTCCAATTTGTTACTTCATATCCAATGTGCTTTAAATTTAAAGTTTGCAGAAACCATCACTACTACTGAGATTCTTCCCCAATAAACATTTACATGGTTCTTCAGCTTTACTGAACCCAACACTGAGATCAGCATTATAAGGACAAATGTAAACACAAACCTGAAATACCAACAGAACACAAACCCATATGCAAGTCCTGTTCAGCTCTTCTCTGTATTCTCTGTCTGTATCTGTCATGCCAAAACAGATCAAGATTTCTAGATTCTGGCCAGTATTACTAAGACAATTGGATAATATTATCATGTCATAAGTAATCATTCTATAACAAATTTAATTTTATATTAAATTATTTTTATACTGAATGCTAGAGCAATTCTTAGATTTCTTAAAGTAGAACCATAGATTGGTTTGGATTGGAAGGGCCCTTTAAAGATCATCTTGTTCCAACCCCCCTGCCCTGGGCAGAGACACTTTCCACTAGATCAGGTTGCTCAAAGCCCCATTCAACCTGACCTGGAACACCTCCAGGGATGGGGCACCCACAACTTCTCTGGGCAACCTGTTCCAGTGCCTCACCACCCTCACAGTAAAGAATTTCTTGTATCTAATTTGTACCTACTGTCTTTCAGTTTAAAGCCATTCCACCTTGTCCCATCACTACATGCTCTTGTAAAAAGTCCCTGTCCAGCCCTCTTGTAGGCTCCCTTCGAGTACTGGAAGGCTGCCATTAAGTCACCCCCAAAGCCTTCTCTCTTCCAGGCTGAAAAGAAGTATAGAAGCATAGTATATATATATAAAAATAAATCCCTGAACTGCTTACTTTCTGTTACTGTATAAAATTTGTGGGACTTACAGATCAGCATCAAACTAGCAAAAGTAGTCACAGGGTCAGATCTGAAATCCAAGCCAAAGCACCACAGAACTACAGCCCCTGCTTTTCTGCAACAGCAACCTTATCAGCTCCATCTTTTCAGCAGCAGATCATGTACTTTCACCTGCAGCATAGTTTCACAGGATGGCTGCAGTCTCTCCCCATCACATGACCAGTCCTTCCAGGAAGCACTGGATTCACTACACAGTTATACCTATTACGCTGTATGCAGCCATTCCCTCTCACCTCTCCTCTTTTGGCTCATCTGAGAGCAGCAGCCAGGAAAACAGTCCATCTGCCGTGCTCTGTCAGAGGCCAAATTGAACTCTGGGATACATGGATAACTGTGGGCTGCAGCTCATTCCCGAGTGCCACCTCTGACAGGAGACTCTCGGTCTGTTTATCAGGCGACACAAAGCACATCTAATGAGCTGCCCTGGCCTGCCCATTTTAAGTGCTCTCAGTGAGCCAGACAGCAGATAAATTTCAGGCAAAAGACTTACAGTGTAAGCAGAACATGCAAATACAACTGAAACTGCAAACTATGCTGAAAGGAGCACATACATGACAATATGATGCTCTGGCATAAATCACACTAAATGCCAAGTAAATATAACACATAGGCAGTGTTCCTTCAAAAGGAAGCACTTCAGATGAAAACCCTTTATTCCATCCAAAGATACTATGCTGTTTTCAAGAAACACAGTGGTATATTTCAGACTTGAAAAAGAAACAGGGTAAGCCCCTAGGTTTGTTTTTTCACCAGTGACATAAATGATGTCAGCTGGAGTGAAGAGTTGACTCAGGCCTGAAAAACAAATTACAAGGCTTTCTTCTACTGGTTAGTTTTACATAGACTGGCAAGTGTATGGAGAAGAGAAAGTTCCATGGAGACCTCAAAGCAACCTTGCAGTATCTGAAGGGGCTACAGGGAAGCCAGAGAGGGACTCTGTTAGAAGCTGCAGTGACAGGACAAGGGGTAATGGGTACAAATTGAAAAAGGGGAAATTTAGGTTAGATATTAGGAAAATGTTCCTTACTGTGAAAGTGGTGAGACACTGAAACAAATTGCCCAGGGAGGTATTAGATGCCCCAACCCTTGCAGTGTTCAAAGCCAGGTTGGATAAAGCCTTGAGCAACCAGGTCTAGTGAGAAGGTGTCCCTGCCCAAGGCAGATGGGGCTAGATGATCGGAAAGGGCCATTCCAACCCCTAAAATTATATGATTCTGTGATTGGTTTTCACTAATTGCTTACTTTGTCTATAAACTTCATACCTCTACTCACCTTCCCTGACATGTATTCTTATAACACTTTAACAGCTGCCTAATGTAGAGCAAGTATAATGGCACAGCAGTGTGCAAGTATAAGTCACAAATTCCATGGCTAAGGTAAATTCTTATATCCCTAAGTCCAAGAATATCAAATACAAGGGGCAAATACAGCAAATACAAGGGGCAGATTTTAGTTCCACTCGGGAAGGAAGCTTCCCAATGACCTACAACATGCACCAAGCTTTATTTTCACTTAGGAAAGAAGCTTCTCAATGACCTACAATATACACCAAGCTTTATTTCCACTTGGGAAAGAAGATTCCAAATGACCTACAATACGCACCAAGCTTTATTTCCACTTGGGAAAGAAGCTTCTCAATGACCTACAAGAAGCACCATGTTGTTACTGCTGGAGCTTTTCCCACTCGGCGCGGGCAGGGCACAACTCCAGCGCCGGAGCGCCAGGGCCGAGGGAGACGCCCCTCCAGCGGCTGCACACAGCCTGT